AACGTGAGATTCCCGAGTTTGGCGCGCGACTTATTACTTTTTTGTTACTAATAGTTCAGCTTGGATTGAGTTTGTAGCCAGACAGTTTTTAATTTTCGCTTAAAAGTGATGGTAATGACGTGTTGATTGGCTATTAATTTCAATTTACTAGACATCAAAAAAAAAAGATTTTTAACATCAAAACAATTTTAAAAAAAATTTTTTTTTTCTCTGAAAACACCAAACGATATTGAGCGATCTTTGCGGCCGAGAGAGTACGTGGAACGAGGAGAGCGATCGGAAAGAAAAATACTATTTGGCCATGTCTTCGCCACGCTTAGGCGGAAAAAAGTTGTCTTTAGTGGAAAAATTTCTCTCCACGGTGTAGAAATAGGTACGAAAATTTTCATGCCAAAATTCGTTAAAAAGTCTTAATTGCTATTCTTTCGATCAAATTAGGGCTGTTGCCGCTAAACCCCAAATTTGCATAAGTTCTCTCATTCCCTATAAAAGCCACAGATCTGATCATTTTGTAATCACTTTTCTTGCTGTGGTGCTAACAGGGGAAGTACTTCAAGTGCGACGCTCAGATTTTGATGAAGCTTGGCACAGATTTAGAATAATTTTTTCTAAGATATATACGAGAATACTAGCTCGCGCTTTGCAGAAACAACCGAGATTTTTAGATCGAAAGTCGGCAAAAATTTAGGACTTTTTTGCGGAATTTCGGCTCGAAAAGTTTCATGCCTATTTCAACCGTAAAGGATAAGTTTTCTACAAAAAATCAAATTTTTCCGCATGAAACTGCCAAAGTTATGGCCAAAAAGCGTTTTTCACTCAGACCGCTCTACGCGTTTAGCGTGCTTTGCAAAAATCGTTCGATATATTGGCGGCGCCCGCAAAGCGCGAGCTAAAACTTTCAAGAATTGATATTTAGTCCATACCCGATGTGTGTGCAAAATTTAAAGAAAATCTGAGCGTCGCACTTGGAGTACTTCCCCTGTAAATAAATACTCCTTCTTCTCGTCTTCTCCTACCGGTCGATCTCACATCAAGTCGCCTTTTCCTCTGGTCAGCCAGTGCAAGTGCCAAGTTTCATCCGAGTCAATGCGTGGCACTCATTCCTCCTTCATCCCCCAAATTTGCTTTACTGCAACAAACTGTCTTTTAACACGCATTTTTTTCATAAAGTGCGAAGTCTTTCCGTCGCAAAGCTTTTTGCTCTGTGCATTTTACTTTTGAATTGTGCAATACAAAAGTCGCCACGCACGTCAAGAAAAAATAAGACAAAAGCGCTCAAGCAATGAAAAATTCTTGGCATTCTGTTTCAGCGAAAGAATAATTTTTTGCTCCAAAGATAACCTGATTACACCATGAAGATGAGGTAGAATAGGGTTATTGCATACATAAATTTGAAGCTGGGCTCCTGCTTATCCTGAACATATATATTTCATATAAAAAATCTGTCGCCTTCTATCTGTTTGAAGCCTAAACTAACAACGCCTAAAAAATGTTGCGATTTCGAGGATTTCTTTAAGATTTTCCCTCGCCCCTATTTGAAGTTTCGTGTAAACATAGTCTGGAACAAGGCGGATTTTTTTGAGCCTAAAAAGAAAAAAATCAAATGAGCCAGTTTCGAGATAGAAAATCTGTTCATTTTGCGCAATATTTCGCCTTTCCTCTGACTTCAAAACCGTCATTGAGACGGATTTTTTGGACACTTTTATAAGCGGCAACAGAATGCCAACTTTCGTGTTGGAAGATAACCCTTTGAGCGCAAAATCTTGACGTGCCACGCCGCAAGCTTTTTTCGACAATTGCACAATGCAAAAAATAAGAGAAATGAACGGTGCGTTGGGGGAAAAGTGTACGCACTTTATAGAAAGATAGCACCAGAGTTTTAAAGTTCAGGAAATCCGCACTGTGCCCTTCTCTTTTTGCACTGTGCGTTTTCGCCGTTTTCACGGCGATTTCCGTTGCTGCCCTAGCGACCTGCGTAACCAAAAATCTTCTCGTGAGGTCGGCAAAAAAACCGTTTGGGCTTTTGAGAACTTATAGTACACTCCGATGTAACATGTCAAGTGCAACGCCCTTTAAAAGTCCGTCTGCGTTTCAAAAAATTGATTTCTTTGACAAAATGTCAAACTGACTTCATTGTAATCGCAAGCAGTTGTTTTGAAGAGCCCTTCCCATCCGACGTATCTTTTATTGTCCCTTTTTCTTCATCTATTTACGGAACGTAGTCTCTAATTGGAAGTTAACAACAGCAATCAACAGATAATTTATTTGGTAATAAATAGTGGACCAAATTTCTGAGATGCCTTCTCACAAGCCTCGTGAAGAAGCCGAGTCATTTGACAATGTTTTTGTGACTGTGATGGGTCAGTCTGTCGGGAAAATAACAGGCGCTCTGAAGCATCAAAGATCACATCGCCATCAAGAAAAAGACTTTTGTAGTGTCATGACGGCTAGATCGTAGTATATATTAGTTTGTCGGGAAAATAATGAACACTCTGTCGCATCGAAAATTGCATTGACGACGAGAAAATGAATTGTGTCGCGGCAAAATCAAATTTCTTTTCACTTCAGCCACACGATCGGCGCAGTGACAGTGTGATCATTATTTTCCCGACAGACTGATAAAGTATCAAATTCCTCCTCTTTCCTCAGCAATTTTTGCTGCGATTCGTCGGAAAGCACACTTACGCAAGGCGAAAATGACCGATTTCAAGACCCGGCGAATCCACATTATTTTCGCGACAAACTGATAGCCTCTTACCAAGTCGTTTTTTTTTGTTACAAATCGTGCGGTCGGTGTCGCAAAGTGGCTAAAAACCACTTTGAACTATGCATTTTTTCTTTGTGCATTATACATACAATATCCTTTTTTGGGCTGTCGCTCGCATCCTGACCTTTTCTCCACTGAGACCGAAAATCACTCCAGTGACTTTACGAAATGACTAGTATCTTCGATGGTCTCCAGTTTTTATATTTATAAAAAAAAGTCAGTCACACAACTGCTCATTCACTCTTGCGACCTGATTCAGCGTGATGCTCATTCACTCTTGCGACCTGATTCAGCGTGTGTTTAGCGCCACTGTGATGAAATTCCAGGAGGAATTGGACATGTGGAAGGTCAGAACTCGTGGTGTCTTTGCCTGACGTGTCTTAGTGGTGTCTTAGTTCAAAGCGGAATATGGAATCGCCATCATTGCTTTGTGACGGCTAGCCGCAGCTGGGGATTTGATGAGTAACTGCATTTTTTTCAACGAGGCGAGAGATTTTGCTACAACGACCGGCCGTTATTTTCCCGACAGACTGATGTTATTATATATGTACTAGTCGCGCCAGCAAGTCCGCAGAATTTTTTCGACCACAGCACTGAGTGGGCTCGCCGGAAAGTACATGTCGGTAGTGAAAAAATGAGAAGTCGCAGCTACGATGGCGCAAAAAACGCAACTGTTCAGATTCTACGGACCTATTGCGCGACTAGTAATAGAAATTTAGGGTCCTCATGCTTGTATTTCTGACCAAATTCTTACTTGTGACATGCTTAAATCCTGATGGAATTTAGCCAATTTTGGCACAAACTTAGGTTAATTTTATACAAGGCATATGCAAGACAGCTAGCGCGTGCCTGCAGGAAGTACCGAAATTTTTTAATTTTGAGACAGCAAATGGTTAATTTCCGATCTTCATGAACTGAAGACAACGCGGACATCGGCCGAATCTCCCTATTCCACCTCAACTGCCAGCCCACTTTTCGTGAAGCCAAAGAATAGTCGACCGCCTTCCGTGGGCATCGCCCGTTGACCGGAGTTTACCTGAATCTTCGGTATCACGTTGCGCGGGGCGGGGCCTCGCTTCTTTTGTGATTGATATAAAAGAAAGAGGGCAAGGTTCTAATCAGCTGTGGGTGGGGACATTCAGAAGAATAAAGGGGAACATTGTGGTCGGGATTTCACTTCTTTTACTGATCGATTCTTCGGCATTGGATGAGAAAAAATTTTTGTGGGATTTTTTGAATTTTTTTTGAAGTTTGAAACTAGGCGGGAAAAAAATAAAGTCACTCTGACCACGCACGGTGCGAAAGGAACGCTTTTATAAAAGAGCTGAAACTGCACAGTGCGTTTTTCCATTGCCATTTTGTTGATTTTTTGTCGCCCAAAGTCACATTGAGATGTCTACCGCACTGTTCGAAAACACGTCAAGACTTGTTGGCCCGCCTAATTAAGCCATTTCAAAAGTGCATAGACTTTTTGTCGTAAGCTTTCCGCACTGTGCAGTCCACTTTTTGCACTATGTAATTGAAAAATCGCTGCGAATTTTGCTCAAGCCCAGTCCGGTTTCCAGAATTCTCCTAAAAACCGGGCCGGGCCTGAAAATCAAAACCCGGGGCCGGACCGTCAATTTTACGGCCCGGCCCGGCCCCGAAAAATTTTTGAAAAAGCCTGTCCTTGAACGATTCCAAGTAGTGCCAAAAAGTCTACGCACTTTCTGAAACGGCGTACCAGTAACAGAAAATCAGTTTGTCGGGAAAATAATGAGCAATATATCGCTAAATTGAAAACCAATTTGATTTTGCCCTTACAAAATTCATTTTCCATCTGCGATTTTCGCTGCAACACAGTGCTCATTATTTTCCCGACAGCCTGAAAACAGGCTATTCTCGGGGCCCTTCACAAATCTCCCCTTGCACCTTGTTTTTCCGATCAATTCTTCAATCTCCCAATTACCTGCGCTTCCCATGACCGTCCATCTCCGCCATTCATCACTTTGAAACAACTTTCGAACATTGCGCTTCATCTCCCCGCAACCCGCCGCTGACGTCTTTTGCAGCCCTTTTTTGGGTGTGGTTTGGGATCGTTTACCCGTATTCGTTAATGCTCTCGTTCAACGACGAGTGCAGATCGAGGTCAATGGCTGTTCGTGGAGCTGTTGTTTTTGACTGTTTTGGACTTATCATAAATTCACTCGTTTGCAGAAACCGTTTATTTATTGCATTCAACCGACTTCCAACGATGACCAAGACCACGCTCAGCGACACCCTGGTCAACATGTTGGCCGAATTTGTGGGCCTGAACAAGAGTCCCGACTTCAAGTTGAGCAGGCAGTCCAGCGACTTGATCGAGGAGGCCAAACGAGAGGAGTTGCAGAAGAAAAAGCTGGCGCAGGCGCATGAATTCGACCTTATTGAGGTAAGCGAGATATACCATCCGAATTGAGGGGAGTTTATGTCAGTCTGTCGGGAAAATAATGAGCGTATTTTCGCTACGCCAGTTGTGGCGCTGAAGTGAAAAAAATTTGATTTTTCCGCGACACAATTAGTTTTTTTTCAGCGGCGATGCAATTTTTAATGCGACAGGTGCTCATTATTTTCCCGACAGACAGATATACCTTTCAAAGTTTGCGTATACAGGGTGCGGCAGAAAAATGGAAACTTTTTTCATTGCGTCCTGATGCGAAAATTTTGAAGTTCAGCAAAATTTTTTTCATACTACTAAATTCTCCGTGGTTTTCTCTCCTAGGGCGTTTAATTTCATGTCGATGCCGGTTTACTAACATGATTTTTTTGAATGTCAAACAGAGGGACCTCGATTTTGAACCTCGACGAAATAGAAAGTGCTTTTGACAGACTCATTCACAGGGTTCCGTAAAATTTTAGGACCTTATAGTCAACTTACTGTAACTTATATGCACTCATCTCATTTTTGGTGTCGCTGAAGTGAAAAAATTTTTGATTTTGCCGCGACACAATTCATTTTCTATTCGGCGATGCGATTTTCCATGCGACAGAGTGCTCATTATTTTCCCGACAAACTGGCATACAAATTTTTCCCCCAATTTCCACAAAAATCGAGATTTTTTAGTCATAAAAAGACACAAAATCACATCAAAATTTTACATCAAAATTCTTAATTTTCCCCACAATTAATCTCGCCTCTTTTTCAGACGCTCGAAGCCGAAATGCCAGTCCACATCCGCTCCACGTCGGCGGAGTTCGACTCGGTCCCAGTGCAGCCCCGGAATCGCCAGCACGAGCGCTTCTACGCCCTCCCCATCCTGCCCAAGGAGAAGCGCTCGGTGTTGGACCGTCTAAAGCGCAGCAACCGCAAGTCGCGCGACTCCTACGAGGTCGCGAAACATCAGCGCGGCGTATCGGAGAGCTCCTGCGACAGCGGCTTCGAACGGTCGGCCGATTCCAGCTTCGAAACCGTGCGCTGCTATCAGGTTGAGGCGAAATGAAAATAGCAGAAGAATCTTTGATTTGACGTCATTTTTACTGTAGATGTGTGGTTATGGTGACTGTTTGATTGCTTGTACATTGTCGGGAGCATATATTCGATCTCATGGAATACGAAATTTGTAAATAAACACGATAATAATAACTGTTTTGGGTTATTTATGAATCTTTTATGAAGACTCCGCCCACTTTCCGGGCTTTGCATAATCTCTCGGCGCCAAAGATTGTTGAATATCTTAACTGCCTCCCAATGAGTTCATATAGCGTCGATGTATAGAATCTAGAAGGAGTCACCGTTGAGCACAGCGTCAAGGAAATATGGAACAGGAATAGAGTTTATTAACACACACAAAAGAGAGAGACCGCTCTCGGGTGAGACGGGACAAGAGAATGACCATGAGTTTGGGTCGAATGTCGCTTTTAGAACGGTTGATCCACGTAGATTCGGCGGGGACTTGGGTTAGAACCAGAGATTGCCACGATCAAAATTTCGGCTCCGGCTCCGGCTCTCAGCTCCCAGAGCCGGAGCTGAGGCCAAATTTTCAGCTTTGGCTCCTGCTCCCGGCTCCCATGAAATATTTAAAAAGGTATCCGGCTCCGAATCCCGGCTTCCGTGCAAAAAAATAAAAAAAATATTTTTCTAAAAATAAATTTTATTAGTGCCAGAGATGACACACTTGACGTTTTTGAGCCATGTAGTAAGTGCGCAACACATCCTTCCCTCGGGAACCATGGCAATATTTGGTCAGAACCCAACATGTACGGCTTTTCTACGGTTAACCTGGGGCAGATACCAACTTTGCTTCGGTAAGGCACACCCATAGAGCTTTGGGACTAGGCACATCAACCACAAACAGAATGCCAAGATTTTTGGCATTCGGTTTTTTTAAGGGTCTCTAATGTTTTAGCTTACTGTGCAGTGGGTAATGAACAAAATAACATGAACCTGCGATTAAAACATTGCCAAGGGCCCATATTTTTTAAATTAATAGATTTTGGCGTTCTTCGGCCACCAGGTTAGCGACAAACGGCCGGAGAAAATCGAATTTTTGCAAACTTTGCGGCCGAATAACTTGTCTAAAACGATTGAAACACGGAAAGTGATTGCAACGATCTTCAGGATATTGTATTCTAAGGTAGTATGCGAAGTTTGAAGCAAATCGGACAGATAATAAAAAAGTAGATGCGATTTTAAGCTTTTTTACCTTATGGATTATATTACTTTAGGCAACTTTTAATGTCCGACAGCGTTAAATAGTCTAATTAATTAACTATATTATCTCATAACATCCTGTTAAGGGAGATTAACTGCAAAAATTTTAACTCTTAGGTCGAAAAAAAGTTTTACCTTATAGTAGCATACCTGATCTTATACCAAAAATAATGAAAGTTTTTGACTGAAGTCAAAGTTTTAAAACTATATCTATGTAAATTGAGATGGCTTTCTAAGGCTATACTGAGCTTTTGGAGTTGGTTTCAACTTCGCTGAGCCAATTTCAAAAATGGCCAATATCACCTAAAACAAGTTTCTTAGAACAGCTTCTAAACTGGTGCGGATGCCACTAATTATGCTCTTATTGTCTTTTTAGATCATAGTGGACCTAGCTGAGTCAAAATTTACCGATTTTTAAAATATTATTTTAGTCACCTAAATATCACTTTTTTTGGTATTTTGAGTGAGTAAGCTATTATATGACACAGGGTTGCTTATTGTTCTCTAAAACTACTCTAATTATGCTCATAGAAAAAAGAATTTAGGCAATTGCTTCGTTACGAAACGATTTAGTAGCAAAAGATGTCTAAAATAAGGTTTTCAAATCTACTACTACTACTATTTTTTGGTCAGTCCGACTCGTTTCCAATTTTTAATTTGAGCTACCCTTGGGCACCCTAACAAAGTTATGCAAACAGTTTTCCCGATTTGAAACTTTTTTTTTGTGGTTGATGTGCTAGGGACGTAGCTGACCAAAAATTCTGGGGGTACGTCGGGGGTTACAAGGCAAGCTTAAATTTCCCTACAGATATTCCTCAATCTTTTCCCATTTAGTTTCTGTGTCTGTCTAGAAAATAATGTGGATTGCAGTTGCACACCCAATCTCCAGCCACGGCAAGCCGTCGCATGGCAATTATGGGCGATTCCAAGGCGCAACAAATCCACATTATTTTCCCGACAGACGATTTTACATTTTTCGGCCCTTCAAGACATTCGCGCCCCATTTCCTTGCAATTATTTCGAACCTTCGAACCGCAGGTCAGGTTTCGCCGGAGAATTCCGTTGCCATGGAAAGACGTTGGCAAGGAAAATTGGGCGAAAAAAGAAAAATGGCGGAGAACCGGCCGGTGTTTTTACGTATGTTTACTCTGTCGGCCTTTCCTAACTTGTTAATGTTCGATTTATTGTAAAATGATGACCCCATTACAAGCGAGGGAGAATATTACCGGCCCAAGAGAGGGTAATGTAAATAATGTAAGCAAAAAATTAGTATTTTCATGCACTTTGTAAATATACTGATAATGTCCGTAAAAAGAAAATTTCCTATTCTAGTCGAAGCCAAATGTAATTCTCATCGACCAGTCGAGGAATGAGCCGTTTACCGCGCGAAATGGTCTGCGCAATTTGCAGAGGCATTTCCGCAATCAATGGACCTTTGAGATGTAAGTTACAGACCTCAGAATTTTGCAAAATTTTCTGTTCTTCAGAAATGAAGACGAAATTCTGGAAACGACATTGGAAAAGTGCAAGATTTTGCTGATCCCAGGCCCTAATGGAAAGTTCTATCAGCAGGAGGTGAGCTATACGAAAATTATGGGATTTTGACGATTTAGATTGATGTAATTCGCAACTTCATCAACTCCGGAGGAAGTGTGTTGGTGACTCTTGGAGAAGGAGGCGAGACTTCGGCCGACACGAACATCAACTACTTGCTGGAAGAATTTGGAATTGTCTTTAATAATGGTACGTTGCCATAAGATTTTGAATATATTCTCTCTACAAGCGAGTAGTATTTCTTGTACTTTCATAAAGTGCATGGACATTTTTTCCTAGTCTGCACGGTGCACAAATACCTCCAATTTTTTGCACCGTGCATTCATCTTTTTTGGCGACGAGCAATTCTCAAATACAGCTCAGAGTCGGCGCCAGGAAATAGCACAAGCCCCAAAAGAGGAAAATAAAAAGTCCATGCACTTTATGAAAATAAGTTTGATTCCCTAAAAAGCTTTTGTTGTATGGAGGTTCACTGTGCCTAAAATTAAATTTTGGGCCCATTAAAACAGTTATTTCTAGACAGATTCGTTGTACGGAGGCTCCACTAAATCGCAATTATTATAAATTACCGACTCTCTGCAGTAATATAACCACTTTTCTTTCTAGACTCCGTCGTCCGAACAGTCTATTATCGCGGCTATTTCGACCCGAAAGAGGCGCTGATCTCGAACGGTGTGCTCAACCGTGGGTTGGCGATTGCAGCTGGCAAGAACCCAACCAACATTGTTAACGATGGGAATAATAATCAGTAAGCTTATGGTCAACCTTTGCAAGTTTTTTCAACTTTAGAGCTCTCTCATTCGTCTATCCGTACGGCTCAACGCTGACGGTTACAAAGGAGACGATTCCACTGCTGTCCACGGGATCAGTGTGCTTTCCGATGAATCGGCCGGTCTGTGCCGCACGAATTACCGAGGTGAGACGACGATTTTGATATCAGTCTGTCGGGAATATAATGAGCAGAATGTCGCTGCGCCGATTGCGTCGCTGAAACAAAAAGAAATTTTAGTTTACCGCGACACAATTTATTTTCTTGATGCGATTTTGGATACGGCAGAGTGCTCATTATTTTCCCGACAAACTAATATATACTACGATCTAGCCCTCATGACACTACAAAAGTCTTTTTCTTGATGGCGATGTGATCTTTGATGCTTCAGAGCGCCTGTTATTTTCCCGACAGACTGACCCATCACAGTCACAAAAACATTGTCAAATGACTCGGCTTCTTCACGAAGCAGACTCTTTGTCGCGGCGTTGCAGCGACTCGTTGAAAATGGCTTTTGTCGCGCGATATTTTTCTGTTGCACAGTCAAAAAATGGGGCTTTTTGCAAGGTTCGGCTCCGCTGCATAGATTTTTTTCTACCTTTAAAAAAAGCGTAGCAAGAAGTTTGGTAAGACTTGTAAGTGATAATGTCAAAGTTCCTTTGTAAAAAATACAGTAGCATAAAAAACATATGGAACGGCTCTCGGTTCAAAAAAAAGCGACTACTTTCTGAGAGATGAAGGTATTTGGCGGTATTTGCAATGTCTCCTGGAAGTATTATATTTCGTCGCATCCTTGACCACTGGGCTTTGACTCGAATTGTAGTCTATTTCAAAACCAAATTTGACCTCTCTTTATCTCATTTTTTTTGGCCTGTGAAAGATAGAAGATAGACTCTACAATTCACACATTTTTTTCAGAATGGCGGAAAGATTGTTGCGCTTGGCTCCACGCACCTTTTATCCGACGCGTACTTTGATGAGCAAGAGAACGCCAAAGTTGTGGTAAGTCCATCTTCTATCCCCTAGCTTTTTCAATTATGACGTCATCAAGGTTGTCAGCAGAGACTGCCACAGTCAAAATTTAGGCTCCGGCTTTTGGCTCCCAGAGCCGGAGCCGAGGCCAAATTTACAGCTCCGGCTTCCGGCCCCGTGCAAAATTTTTAAAAGGCCTGCGGCTCCGAATCCCGGCTCCCGTGTAAAAAAAATTAAAAAAAAAGGAGCCAAGAGCCGGCTTCGGAGCCGTGACAATCTCTGGTTCAGGTAATCACCACCTTTTCAGAGCGTTCTCCTCCGTTTCCTCTCCGAAGATCTCGAACTAAACCGGCTGGATATTGAGGCGCCCGATCTGGCCGACCCACATACAATCCCCGACAATCTCGCTCTGTCCAAACGTTTCAAGGTCTGCGTTCAGGAAAGCGATGTGCAACAGAATTTACCAGTCGACTTTTCCAAAATCTTTGAGGGCAGTATCAAATCGCTGGACTTGAGCATGTGGGCTGAGTGTATAAAGTAAGAATTATGCGGCAAATGAATTGGTAAAATACGCCACGTCAGTCTCCAATTTTGCCATAACATTACAGCTCACTTTGCTGACTAATTCCGTTGTTTAGAACCTATCCAAAGCTCAGCCTAAAGCATGAACCGCTGACTCTTGTTCCGCCAGTTTTTGAGTGTCCTCAGCCTCCGTTGGAGCCGGCAGTAAGTCAAGCGGGATTAAATGTTCAATAGATTTCTACAGGTGTCCCAAAAAACGGAAACCTTTTTTCCTGAGGGACTGACACAAAAATGTTTAGATGTAGCCGAAGACTATTGTTACTACAAAATTCTCCGTGCTTTTCTGTCCCATCGCCTTCGATTTTCAAGCCTATATCGATTAAACGACATGTTTTTTGTTTGAATTTCAAACGACAACAAGGGTGGAACATGTCATAAAAAATGCTCTATGTTGCTGATGATGACTTTTCGTGAATTTTGATTCTCCGGCAAAATATGGCTATATGTAAAAACAAGTTTCCATTTTTTGGGACACTCTGTATTCCAATAATAATTTCAGGTGTTCCCTCCATGCTATCGTGAGCTGCCCCCACCGACATTGGAACTGTTTGATCTGGATGATGCGTTCTCTTCTCAGGAGGCCAGACTGGCTCAATATACCAATCGTTGTAAGGAAATGGGGGACTAATGTCTGTCGGGAAAATAATGTGGATTTGTCGTGCTTTGGAATCGCCTATTGTCGCTTCGAGACGGCTAGCCGCGGTTGGAGATTTGATGACCATGCGAGAACAATTTTCTACGACAAATCCACATTATTTTTCCGACAGACTGATATGTATACGATGAAAGAGAGGCTGATATAAACTAACAGCCGTTTTTATATCTAGTCTCTAAATTTCATTAGGCTCTCAGCTAGTTGATTACTATTACACTAGACTGCATCATATCTTTATCTTTGCAGGCAACCCCAAAGATCTCGACAGCTACATCAAGGAAGTCGGCAACCTTCTGGGGATCACTGACTCACTCTCACCCACAAAAAGAGGGCCAAAAGACATCATGGAGCATGTTCTTGTGCAAATGATCGAGTTCAAACGGTTCAATTACGTAAGTCCTTGCAACAAACACAGCATTTGGTTGTACAGGGTGTTCAGAGAATTATGGAAAAAACTATTCATTAATAACTTTGCGTTCGGTGGTCCAATCCGAAAAATTTTTTTTGCATTTTACAGAAAAACCTTGGAGTTTTTAGAATCTAAAATTTTTTTTTTCTTTTATCGGCGGAGACTTCCGTAATCCGCGTTGAATTCGGCGGAGTGTTTTTTTCACAAAACAAGGCTGTAAATCGTTGTATGTGTAAAGAAAATGGGCGGAAAAGGATTTAGAAGATACAATGTGACATTTCTTTCAAATTTCTGTGCTTCGGCGGAGACATTTTTTAACCTCGGCGGACGATTTTTCTTCGAATTTGGGGGGTCAAAATTGGCTAAAACCAAAGCGTATGGTATCCCAAGTGGCATGGCGCCTAAAAACGACTTATTACGTCTTCAGCCGGCTGGCAGATGAAAAAACGGCAATGCGAAAAAAAGATTCGAAAAAAGATGAACGTATTTAAGAACTTATGCAAATTCATCCGCCGAGCATCCGCCAATAAGAAGAATCATATTTTTGGTTGATCAGGGCCGTATAAGACCTACAACTTTAGTTTTCTCATCATAATTTTTTAAATGGGTTAATTTTTTTCTCCGCCGATTTCTCCGCCGAATTACCTTTTTTTCATCTGCCAGCCGGCTGAAGACGTATTAAAGCGTTTTTAAGCTCCATGCCACTTGGGATACCATACGCTTTGGTTTTAGCCAATTTTGACCCCCCAAATTCGAAGAAAAATCGTCCGCCGAGGTTAAAAAATGTCTCCGCCGAAGCACAGAAATTTGAAAGAAATGTCACATTGTATCTTCTAAATCCTTTTCCGCCCATTTTCTTTACACATACAACGATTTACAGCCTTGTTTTGTGAAAAAAACACTCCGCCGAATTCAACGCGGATTACGGAAGTCTCCGCCGATAAAAGAAAAAAATTTTTTTAGATTCTAAAAACTCCATAGGTTTTCTGTAAAATGCAAAAAAAAATTCGGATTGGACCACCGAGCGCAAAGTTATTAATGATTAGTTTTTTCCATAATTCTCTGAACACCCTGTATAAACGACAACAGCCTAGATGTTTTTTTTTCAGGAAGACAACGATCCCCACATCTTCGCTCCGGACGATCAGACCAACATTTTCGAGCAGCCGCCGGATGGGGATTACTTTTCGGACATCGACGAATATGATGACATTATTGAATAAATCTCTGTTGTTAAAAACAGTCCTTGTCAATGGACATGTTCAAGATACAAGACGCAAAGTACAGTAATTTTAATGACTATTAGTATGTCGGGAAAATAATGAGCGTCCTGTCGCATCCAAAATCGCATCACCGCCGAGAAAATGAACTGTGTCGCGGCAAAATCAAATTGCTTTTTATTCGGGAAGTTGATCGGGGCGGCGACATTGTGCACATTATTTTGCCCACTTATAAAAACTTTTTTTTTCTGGCCTCTCACCACAAATGGTTTTTCGAGCTTCGCCCGGTCCTACGTAAGTCCTTGCAACACTGTGCATGTGCTAAGCCAGGAATGTCGCATACACATCCGCTTCAAAGTTTAGAATCATGGCGTATTCCAAAAATATGTAACGATGACACCCGTTTTAAATTGGCCAGTGGTATATTCAACGACTCACTAGAGTACCCAAAAACGGACTTGGCTGTAAAACTTTTGCAAAGTGCATTTTGGGATGACCGATTTTCTAGATTCTTTCCGCGGCGAGAACCTTTGGAAAGCCCAAAATTGTTCTCAAGGGAGTACTTTTACAATTAGTCATGTTTATACCACGGTTAACATTTTAAAGATTTGTCGTCGTGACATATTTTTTGGGCACAAAAATTTACAGGTATCTGTAGAACATTTACAGCTATGCTGTAGAAAATATTAAAAATAGATGACAAGGCACATCAAAATATAAGCGCCTTACATGAAGCTATTTAATAGAATTATTGACCTAGAAATTTCGTATACATCTGTCTTGGAGCTTTATGAATCCGGCTTTGGGGTTTCTTTGTCGTAGAATTCGTTCCACACCGCCAGCCACTCGGCTTCGCTGAAGACTTCGCCCAACTCCGTGTTGAAGGTCGAGCTCGCGTAGTTATAGGAGTTCGTCGGGACATCGTGCATCCAATCCGGCCCGTAGGTGCTCTAAAACCAAAAAAATTGCCGTTCTTAACTTGATATCCTCAAATTACCTCCAAAATCTCAATCGTATTGCAAGGTACATAGACCAGTTGTCCATGCAGATCTCCGCTGCAGAGTTTTGTAACCTTTGGCGAGAAGTAGCGGACCGCCTGCCGTTTCCACGGCAGCATCCCCGCAATGTATTCGGTGGTCTTGTTTTGCCGATACATCATGAAGAAGTCGGCGCGCACATTTCCCCAGATGTGGTAGCTGATCTCCAGACCTGACTCGATACGCCCTAAAAAGAAGAAGAGTTCACAAGACAAGTGCTCGGAATTGGCTGCTTCAGCGCTGTTCGCAAGTGCAAACTCTTTCTATTGTAAACTTTTTGGAGTTTTCAGCTGCGAAATAATTTTTTGTTACTTTAGAAATTCTTGCTTTTTAGCTAGTACCTTCCCTTTCCGCAGTACGAAAACATGTCAGGATTTCTTGGCCGGCTACTGCAAAAAGAATAAAAAAACTTGGTGCTGGTTTTCAGATAAAATCGTAAAGTATAGGGCAGTTCAGCCGAAGCTTCCACCCTTATTTCAAGTAGTTCTCCACCAATAATGATGACTATGATGTTGCTTGCCGTCAACATTTTCTGTCACTTATAAAAATTCCATTTAGCCAGAGACTCGAATATTTTCCAAGTCCGAGAAGCTCAATAAGTTTCACCGATTTCGGGCTTCAAAATTTGGAAAGAAAATGCCATAGGTGAGTACGGGTGCCTCCTTGAACATGGGCACGTCATATTTGGTGGACAAAAAATAGGGTAGCTCAGCTTCAATTTGACCTAAATTTTATAGAAAGTGCTGCATTATTGGCGGAGAAATACTTGAAATAAGGGTTTAAGCTTCGGCTGAACCACCCTGTACTGTGATGACTTCTCTTGTTGGAAGGAGCCGGCCCGTACGGCTAGAGATCGAAAGGAATCGTTGACAGGGCCCACTGTCCCTCCATCCTTACCCGCTCTAAATCTCCGCCGATAAATCCCATCCATGTACTTGAAAAACTCCGACTTGTATTCGTTGAATCGGATTGCAAAGTCGATATCATGGGTATGTGGGATGATGTCGCATTCCCTGAACCATCCAAGCAACGTTCCGCCGATCAAAAACACGGTAACGTCGAATTTCTCGCCTCGTTGGCGGATGTCGTCGAATAATCCGATTTTTTCCAACGGAATTAGTCTTGCGGAGACATTTCTGTCCATGGTGACGTTCAAACAGTCCATAAATTCCGAGCGTGGCCAATGAAAGTTGAACCATTCCAATGAAGGGGGCTTTCGGACAGTTACAAAAGTGTTGCTGTCGGTTGGCACAGTAATATAGGGCGTTACATCGAACCTAAAAGTAGAAAAATTGTGACGTCAAGGTTTAAATTAAGGGTCAATTACCTGGGCAAAAGACGTTTACTCATCGTCAAGTTGGCTGAAAATTTGGCTCGGACTAATGTAAAATATTTCTTGGTTAGATCGTCTTCGATAAGATACTCCGTAACAACGTTTCTGGACCTTGTCGGACCAGTCATTGCGCATTTTAGTGGAGTTTTACATGGCAGTTTCTTGGCAAGATTTTGCAAGCAGTCAGCGTCGACTAGAAGGCTGAAAGAGAAAAGTAGTTATGTTGAAAGTTGTACAAGCCTTGCACACAACTAACATTTGCGAATGTTTGTTTTTATTTGAATTTGTTGTATGCTTTTTCAAATAGGCTTTTTGTCGGGGCCGAACCGGGCAAAAAAATCCATTTTGCACCGTACATTTGACGTTTTCGAAAACGACAAAAGCATTTTTCAACTGACAGGGAAAGTACCCCAGGTGCGACGCTTAGATTTGATTGATTTTTGCCGCCGGGGAGAATACACTAAACGTGGAGAGTGGTCCGAGAGAAAAACACTTTTTGGCCGTCGCTTCGCAAGTCTCGTGCGGAAAAAAGCCGTTTTTTTGTGGAAACCTTACCCTCTACGGTAGAAATAGGCAAGAAACTTTTCGTGCCCAAATTCTGCAAAAAGTGGCAAATTTACGCCAGCTTTTGAGCTAAAAATCTGGGTTGTTTCTGCAAAGCGCGCACATTCTCGCATATGAAAAAAATATTCAAAATTTGTGCCAAGCTTCATCAAAATTTGAGCGTCACACTTGGGGGTACTTTTCTTGTTAGTCGGACTTTTTTCCGAAACAATTTTGCACGATGAGTGAAGCACAGTGCAAAATCAAACGAAATTGAATGCACGGTGTAAAACGGGGAGTTTCTTGTGCACGATGCGGTCCGCGACAGGCGTCCATGCACTTTATGAAAATGCTAATCGACCTGGCCAATGTCGCTGGTATGATTTCGGCGGTATTCACTGTTCAAAAAAGCACACCGCACGGTGCAAAAACCCGAAAATTGCCCAGTGCAAAGTGAACTTGTTTTCTCACAACGCAAAATCACGGCATTTCCCTAAACCTCACCACTAAACTCACCAGTTCTCAACTTTCTCAACAGACCGTCGGCCGGCTCGTGTGTAAAGATGGCTTTGTAACAGCACAAAGACAATTACCAAAATCACCGCAATGGGTCCGAGTTTAAGTACGGCGAAGGTGAACCACCGGTAGTTCCTCATAAGTATTCTGTTGCTCGCCGATTTGATTCGGAACCGGAGTTTATGAGACCCCGGCCACGGAACCAACGTGTTCTCGGCCGTTGGTTCAGCTGCATTGTGACGCTCCGCCATGTCTGTTGTGCGACGAAAAACAGGGATCAAAGTGTACTCTGGGATTTGTAAAAAAGGGATTTGGATTTTTTATATAACTGAAATCATGCTACTCGAGGCCAGAAGTCTTGGCAAATTCATGTAAGATTTGTATCTTCTTTAGACTACAATGTAAACGTATCTACCGTATCGTTGTATGCAATAAGACTTCAACGTTACACCTTGTATTGGAGGCTAACTGAAATGAGTTTCCCTCGGCGAAAGATTACTACATTTTCATCTTTTTATTTTGTAGTCTACGTGGGTTAGACAGACGTAGTCCAGGCTGAGATTAATTCGTTTATCCTAATCATTTTTAAGGACAATAAATTTCTCTCACATTGAGCATTTTTTTAAGTTTATTGGTGAACAGCTACAGTTGACACTCTGAAGTGCGTTTACTATGTAGCGGTGGGGCCAAAAGTCTTGATATGTCTGCACTGTGCGAAAACGTTCTCGCATCTCTCCAAGCGACGAAGTAAAATGTACAGTACGCCGCGATCGCGCAGAGAGATTAGAAGATTTTGCTATTAGTATTAGATTTTCCGGAGAGTCGCCGGACAAAAACCGGCGAAAACAAAAGTTTCCTTTGCAATGTGCAATTTCTTCCTGCTCGGAAAGTGCAAGTGTACATACGAAACCTCACCAAATGATAAGTGACGTACGTCGTTGAAGAGCCCTTGAAAAATGGTACAAGACGCCATTTTCATTTTTTTGCAGGATGCGTTTCCGCAATGTCATACTGTAAGGTATTCTGCAAAAATGAAAATTGGTATCTTGCCATTTGGTGAGGATTCGTTTGTATACCTCCCCAGTCAGTGCAAACGCAAAAAATCAGCTCGGTGACTTTCCCGAAAGGCTAGTCTTTAAATACATGAGTCTCAGCCGGGTCGCCCGGGCCGGCTGGGACTCAGCCGGCCGTTTCAAATAGGGAAATTTGAAACGTTCCTGGCCGACCCCTTTTGGCGGCGCCAGGCCTATCAGTCTGCCGGAAAAATATCAGTCTGTCGGAAAAATAACGGCGGATCGTCGCCCCTCGCAATCGCCCATCATCGCTTTGCGACTGCAAGCCGCGGCTGGGGATTTGGTGCGCGACAGCGGCTAGGCGAGACATTTTGCTCCGCCGTTATTTTCCCGACACACCGATATTGAGTACTCTGTCGCATCGATAATCGCATCGCCGCCGAAAAGTGAAAAGTGTCGCTGTAAAATCAAGTTGCTTTTCTCTTCAGTGACATGATCGGCCTATTGCACTCACTAATTTTCCGACAGCCTGAATATCTTCATCGAGACGGGACGGGCCGATAAGAATTTTGCAACGTGGGCGAGCTGCGATTTTTTGAAGCCGAAGGGCCTTTGCAGAAATGCCAAGACCTTTGTATTCAGCTAGTGCTCTTTTGTTCGCCACCTCATCTCTGTTTTAAGCCCTTTCTACTGTGTCGAATACAATTATGTCATTCGTATGTAGTTGTGCAGAATTGCATGAGATTCGAATGAATTGAGGTCTTATTTGGTGCACGCGAACAGTTGGCTTCTTCAACTAATGGTTGAACAAAATTTGCGCCGAAGATTTGCATAGCAGTTTGCTCTCTATGCTGGTGCAAAGTTGACGGTAGATCTTTGTTGGACAATATTATGACCATGATTCCTTCGGACGTGCCTGCGGAGACTGAGATCGTACTTTATCAAGTCGCATTCACCTTTGTCTTCTCGCTTAGCATCTTTATTATTCTGCTGGCTGGATATATCATTTTGAACACTGGAAAAAGTAAGTAGTTTTGCGGAAGCAGCGACTAAAGTGAGGATTTTTAAAAGGCATTTGAGGTGCGCCGATAAATAGGACTTTCTTTGTAGCAGTCTGGCGGAAAAATAATGAGCACTCTGTCGCAAAATCTGAGCGTCGCACATGGCGCACTTACTGTAAACTTACACCCCAATTTCAGACATCAAAACCTATCGATGGTATCTGCTTGCCCAGCTGATTGCCAGTGCCATCTTTGACCTTGTCTACTGGCTGAAGATGCCGGTTGAGCTCTACTCCGCAAAGTGCATTTACAGCGTCGGCTTACTCGGCGAGACTCCGTTGACAACGCAAAACGTTCAATTTGTACTCATTGTTTTCTTTGGCGAATGCAAGCTGCTGGTTTTGTATGCCGCTATTATGTATCGGTATTACCATGTAAGTTGCTTTGTGGGGATCAAGAATTAGAGGGTGGTTTTGCAACAATAAAGTCCTACGCTTTTTCGAAAGTGCGTGGCCTTTTTTCGCCAGTCTTGAATCCGCGACCATCGCAAACTTGCGGACAACGATTTTTGCCGGCTGGGGCCGCATCTGCGGATAACAGGAGAAAACATGATGGTACTTTAGAAACCTAGTCAACATATAAGAAAAAATTGACGCTGTTTAAAGTGTGCTGACATATCAATTTTTGATTTGAAGCCCTTGTCTAATTACCAGCCTGTCGGGAAAATAATGTGTGTTTGTGGCGTGGAGCAAAATATCTCCTGTCGTTACAGTCTTTCAAAGTTCAATTTAACCGTATTATTTATCCGAGGCTGATATTCCATACATTCGAAGTATCCTTCACGGCATCACCCATTATTTTCAATCATCGTATCTCAAATTTTAGGGGTTACCTCCCGACACCTATCCACGACTTCGGGTCCTCGTTGAACCCAAGATCTACAAATTCGCTCTGTTGTTTTTGGTTGTGCAGCTGCCGGTCGTTGTAAGTTGACAAAATTGCATCATGTGTAAACAAAAGCGTAGCCATTTTTGCGATCAGCGTAACGTTTTTTTTTTGTAAAAGCAAACATTTTTTTTGCAAAGCCCATCAATTGTTTCCAGCTCTCCCTTGTTCCGTCGCTGCCGATGCCAGCGCGACAAGCGGTGCTGAGAAATCGATCGCCCTTGCTCCGCGACGTCTACATTAAACATCCGTCGTTGCTTTGCTTCGAGGAAACAACTCAAAACACAAAGGAATTCGACGTTATGTTCGTATTCTTGACAGCGTCGTATACGTTCATAATTGTGACGCTCATCTTCATGATGAGCCATCTGATCTACTTGACCAATCAGAACAAAAATCGACATAACTCGACGTATAGAATACAGGTAACAGAAGAGAGGCCTGCAATGAGAAACATAGACATTATAATTTTTTACCTTGCAGTTCATGCTCTTCAAATCCATTCGAATGCAGTTTTTCTGCATGATCGTGGTTACCGTGATCCCGCTTACCTATCGAGCGCTAGCAACCTCCTTTGAGTTCCGGCGAGAGGCTACTGTTCTAATGGCGATGTGCGTTCTCACCTGCAGTCATTCGGTGATTGACTGCGCATTGATGATTCATTACGTTCGACCGTATCGGCAGATGCTGACACATATTGTGCTGAAATGTCTAAATGGAGAGATGGTTAGTCCTGGCCTGGTCACTATTAACAGTAGAACGTCGGGAACTTTTGGGAAATAAAGTTGCATTATGTATCGATTGCTTCAAGGTTTAAGTTACGAAAAGTTTATGGCAGAAAACGACTTTCGACCGCACTGTGAAGTGAGCCTTTTGGCTCATTTAGTGTTCTGATTTACTGAAGTTTTGTTTGATATTAGTCTGCCGGGAAAACAAATGAGCATTATGTCGCATCGAAAATCGCATCGTCGCCGAGAAAACGAATTGTGTCCCGGCGAACTCAAGTTGCTTTTTATTTCAGCGACAGAGTGCTCATTATTTTCCCGGCAAACTCATAAGATGGATACTATTCGTGATGTAAAGTCTGTAGAATTTTTTGAACAGCACGTTTTGTGTTACTTTTCGCGCGGCGATATCCTGTTGTTGCATTAGCGACATGCATTTTTCTGCGAGTCCACCGTGCGACGCTCAAAAAAGGTGTAGCCGCGCATCAAATTTCCAGCTGCGGCTAGCCGTTGCAAGGCAATGATGGGCGATTCCAGGGCCCGTCGCACGGCAACCCAAGGAGTCTTCCGCCCCTTTTTGGCACTTCGCCCACCCAATGTCGGCCGAATTCAAACGAAATGTCAAAAATGAATTTTTGGTGTCGTTTTCCGACCGGAAAATATTTTTTCGGAATTGTTTTATATTTATTTTGTCAATTGCGACATTTCGATTCGACGAAATTCAAAAATGGGCGGTAGACAATTTTATTCCATTCTGGGTTTCCGTGCGTCCTTATTTTTTCGACAGACTGTTATCATCTCTTTACAAACGGCGAGGGTCAATTTGCACTGTGCGCGCTACAGTGTAAAGATCAATTTTTGTGTCCACCACCCAGACTGTGTATTTGACACACCTAGGTCTTGAACGGAAGCCCTTACAAACTCGTCATTTCCGTCGGCGTCCTTTCTTTTATCCTTTCTCCTTTGCACTTTCTTATCAGCTCGCAGGAGTTTTAAAGACGCTTGTTGACACGAGAATCTTATCAGGATCCAACTTGGCAGTTTCTTGTATCAACCATGGAAGACGCACATTTCCCTCGGAAATGCATGTTTGTGAAATAAAATGATATTCTTCGGTGTTTTGGCGACGACAGCTCTCTTTGACTTGGTTCGGGCTAACGAAAATACAACAAAAAATGTTAGCCAAAGCAGCTTGGCGCATGGCATGAAAAAAGAGCCACTTTGGTGTTATAATGGTGAGTTTTTATGGCTATCAGTCTGTCGGGAAAATAATGAGCACCACTGCCGAGAAAATGAGTTGTGTTGCGGCAAAATAAATTTTCTTTTCACCTCTGCGACATGATCGGCGCAGCGACACCATGCTCATTATTTTCCCGACAGACTGATACGAATTTACGAGGGAACTTTTTGAAGTTCAACGCTCAGATTCTGATGAAACTTGGCGTAAATTTAGAATGGTTTTGGATAAAACATGGTCGAGACTCCTCGCACATTGTAGAAACAATCTAAATTATGAGAAAAGATCTGGCGAAAATTTGCGGTTTTTTCGAATTTTTGCATGGAAATTTATTTTATGCTTGTTTCTATTGGTAAGAGTATTGTTGCTGCAAAAAAACTATTTTTTTCCGCACGAAACAGGCAAAGATACCGCCAAAGAAAACGGATTTTTCTCTGACCGCTTTCTGTTTTTCATGAGCTCTCTCGGCCTGAGATATTATAAGTCTGTCGGGAAAATAATGCGGATCCTTGGAATCACCGCTTCCGACAGCTTGCTGAGGCTGGAGATTTGCAAAGGACGTGACATTCTGCTGTGGCAAATCCACATTATTTTCCCCACAAGCCAATATCTCGGCGGTCAATGCAAAGCGCATGCGCCAAAAAAAAATTTCTTTGACTACGTTGCCCTTGTTTATCTTCTCTCCTTGTTAAAATGTAATATTTTTACAATTTTCTGCGACGTCCCTTACGTAGTAATGCCTCTGCTGTTGTTCAGGAGACGCCGTGGACCTGGAACTGCTGGATCTGAAGAACTGCTCGAGCCAGTATTGCGTCAAGATTGTGGACAAAGACAACTTTTATCAATTGAGGTGAGAAAATAGTAACTTTTTTCTGTAACCCGACTTCTGACGTCTTATAACGACATTACTGTTGCAGATCTTGCGACAGCAGCAACTTATGCGTTGATCTTGGTAATAAATGTGCGGAAAAATTCGACCGTTTTCCATGGCGATCCACAAGCGAGACATTGTGTTGTTGTAAATCTGACAAGTGCAATGGATCATACAAGATGCATAATAACTTCATTTTTGGCTTGATTATGGTTTTTATAATAAATATATTATGATGTATTATGACGCAAAGCCCTTGTAAGTCTGAAAATCGGCTCGTAAAGGATACTTTGTATTTATTATTTACTCAATCCGACGTATTCTATATTTAAGATCTGATTGTGCTAACAAAACATTCCATTTGTCGCGTGTTATCGGCAAAGGAAAACAATCAGCGAAATTTTGGACGACACAAAGTACAACAAAACGTTTTGTTCCACTTTATGCACACATATGTCAGTTTGTCGGGAAAAAAATGAAAACAATGTCGCTGATCGTGTCGCTGAAGTGAAAAGCAATTTGATTTTGCCGCGACACAATTCTTTTCTTTTTCTGGCAACGTGATTTCCGATGCGACAGAGTGCTCATTATTTTCCCGACGGAGGTTTCAAATTTACTTTGGCCCTGCACGGTGGATTTCAGCACCGGTCTGGTGGAAAGAACCGGCTTGGTTCGTTTCAAATTTTCCGAAGCATTAGACCGTGCCGCTGAGGTGAAAAATAAAAAATTTATTCTTCAAAGATTTGAGCGTGGCACTTCAAGAATCCCTATTTTCCAATTCCTACAATTACAATCAGTCTGTCGGGAAAATAATTAGCACAATATCGCTGCGCCGACCGTGCTGCTGAAGAGCAATTTGATTTTGCCTACACAGTTCACTTCTTCTTTGCAATGCGATTTTCTCTCCGACAGAGCGCTCATTATCTTCCCGACAGACTCATATCGGCCTGTCGAGAAAATAATGTGGGTTCATCGGCACTCATTTTCATCCACATACATTTATATACATACAGTGAGGATTAATTAAATGCATTTTGAGAAAAAACATGACTAATTTATGACAAGCAGGTGGTAATTTCAAAAGAACTGGACAGTTCTTTACATTGTGTTTGTCACCATGTCCTCAAAACAACCGTTCGGGGATTTAGCCTGATATTTAACGCCGCTGACTCACTATGCACCCCTTTTGTAATCGAATCACAATGCGTTTTTTGGGGAAAATATTTAGTTTTGACGGTCTTTAAGGGCGAAGGTAAAAACGCTTCTCGTTTGATCGATCAGTGAGCTCTCAAACTCCGCTCTTCCCGCGGCGGTTTGCATGTTTATTGGTGGGGTAGTAACATTCTAACATATCTCGCGGCGTAGATATGGCATATGGGCTCAGAGTGAAGCAATAGGGAGAGGAGGCAATTTAGTGTCGGGGTGACACATTTTGCAACACCTGAATCATATATTTGACGCACTGTAAAGCATAGAAAAAAAGATGGAAAGGTCAGGCTTTGATAAAAACAAATTAAAGGCCATGATGATAATGAATATTGCAAAATCAATGAAAACAAGGGTTTGTAGACGTTCTTGTTGTTGAGGCATGACATGACTGGGTACAAATTATGATAAATATGGGTACGGTAGTCCACAAAGGGTTTTGAACTTTTTGAAATTTGAGCTGCTTCAAAAAATGGAAAGATATCAGTCTGTCGGGAAAATAATGTGGATTTTTCGCGCATGAAAATTTCCTGTCATCATTTTGAAACGGTTGGTTGCGTCTAGGGATTTGATGTTACTGCGGCGAGCCGAGATATTTCGCTGCGAGAAATCCACATTATTTTCCCGACAGAAGGATATTGGAAGATAAAGTTTCCAAAAATTTCAGCTTTTCTGACTGCTATAGCCATATGAAATATTTTGAAAAAAATAGTGTGCAAGCCTCAAAATTTCTCCGCCACGGCGCAGAGGCCAAAGAAAATTCGAGTGCTAGCGCTTCGCTAACACTTTTATTCAAATAAGTCTGATTTGTCGGGAGTGAGGGAGCGATCAGACGCCACTCCAAGCATGGGCGGGTTCTCTGCAGCACCATCGGTTGAGGGGCGAAATTTTTGAATTTATGATCGATTTATGGTGGGTGATTAAAGTGGGAGAAACAATTTGGAGACATTACCAAATTTCGTTCGATTTTCGGGGTATTTTTTGAAGTTATGGTATTTCCAAGAGATCTAAAAAATTTTTACTGTCTTTTTTGAGTGAATTGTCAGCTTTATTTAACTTTTTTGCCGTTTTGAAAGTTAAAAAAATTGTTATCAGTCTGTCGGGAAAATAATGGGGAAATGTTTCAACGGCAAATTCGTCGCTGAAGTAAAAAATTTTTGATTTTACCGAGACAAAATTCATTTCCTCGGCGGCGATGCGATTTTCGCCGCAACAGAGTGCCCATTATTTTCCCGACAGACTGATTCCTACAGCCTCCATTAGCTATTATTTCAACAAATTCAAACACAACTCTTTACCGAACACTTCTCCCTTCATTTTTCCACAAACACTTGCGATACGTTTGGTTTGTTACAGCCCCAGCAAAACATTCGTTCATTTGTCGTCGACGGGTTTCGCGCGTTTTGTTTTTTTCGGTTTGATGGATCAACGAATAAGATTGCGCAGTGTTCCCACAATTACTATACTTTTTTTCTCCATTTAACGACAGTTTTTGGTTTAATCAAAAGTGCAGTTTTAATCAATCAGAGGCGGAAAATTTGAAGGAAGTGCAACGATTTTTTCAAAAAGAATTTTTTCAATTTTTTTGCACCGTGCAAAAAACTTATTTTGCACTGTGCAACTGACAGTCCAAAAAGCGACAAAAGTCATTCTACGGGTCGCTGCGGGTTTTTCGCGCGGCGACGAGAAAATGCACTGTGCAAAATGTCCGAAAAACCGGCACCGTGCGAAAAAAGGCAAAAGTTTTTTGCACTGTGCGCAAAAAAAATTCTACGAATGTTTCAAAAAGCGTGGTATTAGCATAACGTAGCAGCTGCAAATAAATATCAGTCTGTGACGAAAATAATGAGCACTCTGTCGCATCTAGAATCGCATCGCTGCCGAGAAAATGAATTGTGTTGCGACAAAATCTAACTCCTTTTCACTTCAGCGACACAATCGGCGCTGCGACATTGTGCTCATTATTTTCTCGACAGACTGACAGTCCTTATGTTGCTAGAGGGCCAATGCCAGGAGAAGGGTGGCATTCAAACTTTCAATATTAGAAAAAGGTATTTTCGAGCCAGCTCCTATGGCTCGTCAACCTTCCTTAGTAGGCACTAGCCGGCGTTAGGGAAAGTCACAATCAACAAAATTCATATATTTATTTTCCAATGCAATACGTATTATTATATCAGTCTGTCGGGAAAATAATGAGCACTCTGTCGCATCGGAAATCGCATCGCCGAAAAGAAAATGAATTGTGTCGCGACAAAATCAAATTGCTTTTCACTTCAGCGACGCGACCAGCGCATTGTGCTCATTATTTTCCCGACAAATTGGTAGCAGCTGTAAACACATAAATACAGCATAAGATAAAAAACTAATCTTATTGTTTTCGATACTCAGTGGACCAATTCTTTTACTCTAAAGAACAGGCAAGTTTTTTTTACAAAGAAGTGGTGATTGTTGGTTTGTAAAGGCCTCTCGGTCTCTTTTGCAACCTTCCCAACCAATTGAACTTGCGAGATCACGAACCATGACGTATTATATTAGTTTCGCGCGACTTTTTCGAAAATCACCGCTGTTCTTTGAATCAAATGTTTTGAAAGCGAGAGGGTTTGATTACTTTGTGAAAATGTGGTAGTAATTTGGTTATGTTCGAATTTTTTGAGAAGATTTAATAATTTTAAACTTTTTGATAATTTTTAGCGCAGAGTGTAGCATAAAACGTAGTGTAAATAGAACGCAATTTTGTAGAAATTTTGGGCAGAAAATGGTGGGTTTCGGCAAAAAATTAGCGATCTTCGAACAGCTCTCCTAAAGTCATCTTTCAATGTGATGCTCTGAGACTTGGCTGAATAAAATTTCAACTATTGGGCTTTCAATATAAAAATTTTTAAGATTCTCCGCCGACTCAGCAGTCGTATTTTACCCTATAAAACAACACTGTTTTTGTATCAGTCGGGAAAAAAAGTTTAATGAGCCCTCTGTCGCATCGAAAATCGCATCGTCGCCGTGGAAAATTAATTGTGTCACGGCAAAATCAAGTTGCTTTTCACTTTAGCGACGCGATCCCAGCGATTTTGTGCTCATTATTTTCCCGACAGACTTGTACAATGAAAATTGCAAATTTGACATTTTTTTGGGCAATTCTTCATCTCCACATTCGGAGCAATAAATATCATCTTAATTTTGCATTTTTCCGTGTTTCGGGCCATTTCAAAAACACTGATTTTAATTGTCTCATCACGTCGAATATTTTTGTTTGCTAAACCACTCGTATTGCGGCTTCGTTTGTTCAAAAATCAGACCCGTGAATCTTTCAATCCACTCGAACTTTTGACTTTCAAGTCGTCTTAAAAATAGTTAAAATTTTTTGTGGTTTCAAACAGCCATAATTCATAGGATTTGTCGAGACTGACGGGTTTATCGCCGTATTTTCACAAACAAATCACGTGAAAAACGCTTTCCATTGTTCGGCTTGGTCTAATGTGATCGCGAGGTGTCAAAAAGCCTCGTTATTTTTGCAGAGAGCCATGGTTTGGTTGAATTTGTGGGGTTTGAGGCATATGTATAGAGCAATTTTTTGACTGAAAATAGGACGACGTATTTTACTGTTGAATCAATTTTAAATGTACAGGAGAATAGCCCTAATGCGGTCTAAAGATTTTATTGAAACTTGGCACAAATTTTGATTAATTTTTTGCAAGGCATATGCGAGATTTCTAGCTCGCGATCTACTTACAGAAACAACAAAGATTTTTAGATGAAAAAGAATGGCAAAAACATGAAAATTTTTTTCCCGATTCTCGTATGAAAATATTCATATTACCTGCTTTTACCATAACGAGTAGTTTTTCTACAAAAAAATCAATGTTTTCCTCACGAAGCTAGCAAATAAGTATAATATATGTATGGCGAAAAAGTTGTTTTTTTTCTCTTTGACCTCTCTCCTCGTTTTGCGTGAACTCCCGGATATAATATGTATACATTGTAAACTTTTGACCACTCATATCTCAACTGAATACATATAACTCAATCACTTTGA